GATGGGGAGTCAATGGAGCCGGGCGAGGGTGGGGGTGATGGGGTCACGGAGCCTGGTAGGGGAAGAGGACACGAGTTTCAGAGTTCTGGATGATCTGCAGTTTGTGGAGGGAAGAGTTGAGGAGACTGACAAGGAGGAAGTTTCCGTAGTCGAACCTTGAGAGTTTCGGCGGGGTGAGGCAGTGGCAGAATGCGACAATGTTGCAGAGGTGGGGGAAGGCAAAGCATGGCACAGATATGGGGGAGAAGACAGTTGAGGGTTGAACAAGACGCCCAGGTTCCTGACTGGCTTGGTGAGGTGGAGTGTGCATCCATGGATGCTGATGCTGACAGTGCCTGAGGTGCGGAGCCGCTGGAGCGAGCCAATCAGGAGGGCCTCAGTCTTGCTGACATTCAGCTGTAGAAAGTTGGCTCTCATCTAGGACTTCGTGTCTAACAGGCAGTCTGTCAGGAAGTCAGTTGTCCTGGAATCGAGGATGGAGGCAGAGAGATAGAGTTGCGTATCATCCATATATGTACGTGTGGAAGTTGATCCCATGTCTGTGGATGATATCACCAAGTGGGAGCATGCAGAGGCTGAAGAGGAGGGGACTGAGGAACAGAGCCCTGAGGAGTACTACACAAGACCGTGTGGGGGTTGGAAGAGAAACCGTTGGCGGAGACAAATTGGAGACGGTGTGAGGGATAAGACCTGAACCATTCAAGGGCAGAACCTTGAAGGTTGAGATAAGAGAAGAGGCAGTGGGGATGGATGGGGTGGTCCACGACACTGAAGGGAGCAGAGAGGTCGAGGAGGACGAGGAAGCCCTGGTCACAGATGAACAGGCTGTGATTTGTCACCTTGACCAAAGTATAATGCCATTTCACATTAAAAATGAACAAATGCTGACATTTCAATCCCTAAATTCTGTACTGGCTGAATAAAGGTCAGAAATTTTTCCTGCCTTTTTGAAGATGACGAGATGATTTGAATCTTAATATGGTGAATTGTATACCAGAATTCATTATTAATACAACAAATCCAGTTTTCAAATCACACAAATTTAAATTCTATGGACTTGCCCTCAACAGCTAAATATTGGATATAATTGGAATTGGATAAATATTAAGAAAATAACTTAAAAGGGCCAGATGTGTGACCTCAACCACAACAACTTGCATTTTATATAGCACCCCTCACGCAGGGTAGTGTCCCAGAGTGGTTGACAGTGGTGGAGCACGACGCCCAGCCAGGGAAAGGGGGAGGTACAAATGGAAGGGGCAAGGCAGATGGATAGAGGAAGAGCGTTCCAGAGTTTTGGGGGTTAGTGGTTGAAAGTAGATTGGAGTGCACGGGGGACATGCAGAAGGCCAGAGTCAGTCGAGCAGAGGTAGCGGGTTGTGGAGTAAACAGGTCATAGAAGTAAGGTAAAACAAAAAACCTCAAAAAGGATGCATCTCTTATCAGTCGATTTTCTGATGAATATGCTAAATACCAAGGAAAGATTTTAAACACGGTGTTAAGTGCTTCCATGCTGCAACCATTTAACATTTTAGCTCAGAATGTTAAAACAAAGTGAACTGGGAAATGACATACTGCCTCAAAATATCTGGAAACATTTTAAAAAGCAGTCAACAACCAGTCAAACGCAATGAGAAGAACATGAAGACAAACTGCTGTCTTTGTAAATACTGAACATTATCACATGGCATAAATAAAAATAGCTCTGCACTTATATTGTCTTATATTATTAATGAGGAAAGAGAATGGTCTACAGTTATTAGATTCAAGAAAGAATGACAGACAACAAGATAATGGAAATTAAACATCAGTATGAATAATGTTTGGAATGCCATGATATGCACATTTCGTGTGTTTTCCTCCAACACTTACCTTTTCTGTGCCATGAACTTGTTAGTGCATGGGGTAACACTGGTGGATAACGGTACAACAAACTACAGGTATGCAATGGTAACAGAACACAACAACTTGCATTTATACAGCGCCCTCCACCCCGGGCGGAATCTCAGAGCACTTAATAATGGTGGAGCCCAAGGCCGAGCCAGGGGGAAGGGGAAGGTGACTGTTGGTGCGGTTGAAGAGGAACGTCTTCAAGCGTGACCTGAAGATGGGGAAGGAGGGTCGAGGCGAAGGGGTTGAGGGAGGGAGTTTCAAAGTTTCGGGGAGTAATGGCTGAAGCCACGGCCGCTGATGGTTGAGCGGATGATTCGGGGGATGCGGAGGAAGCCGGACACAGTAGAGTGGAGGCATCGGGTACTGCTGTGGGGAGAAATGAGGTTAAAGAGAAAGGGAGGTGCCAAGGAATGGAGGGATTTAAACACTAGAGTGGGGATCTTGAAGTCGATCCACTCTGTGACAGGGAGCCAGTGGAGTTTGGCAAGGACTGGAGTGATCGGGGTACGGAGTTTGGTGCGGGTGAGAATGTGGGCGGCGGAGTTTTGGATGAGCTGGATTTTGTGAAAAGTGGAGGAGGGGAGACCTATGAGGCGGGTGTTAGATGTCCAGCCGAGAGGTGACAAAGGCATGGACAAGGGTTTCAGCAGCTTTTGGGGTGAGGTATTGTCGGAGATGGGCAATCTGGCAGAGTTGGAAGAAGTGCTGATCAGGGACCAGATATGGGGGAGGAAGGATAACTGGGGATTGAACCTGATACCTAAGTTGAGCACAGGTTCAGAGAGTTTTCAGGACAGGTTGGGTAGGTTGAGGAGGTCGGATCCATGGGACAGAAGACGTCAGCAGGAGCCAAAGAGTATGGCTTCCATCTTGTTGACATTTAACTGCAGGAAATTTGCACTCATCCAGCTCCTGTTGTCCGACAGACAAGTTGACAGAACATCAAGGGACTGGGGGTCGCAACTGGAGGTGGAAAAGTAGATTTGAGTGTCATCCACATACATGTGGAACCCTGTGTCTCATCTAAAACTCTGCAGCTCGTGTACTCTCGCACACCAGGCTCCATGACCCCCTCACTCTCACCCTCGCCCGACTCCACTGGCTCCCCATCCCTCAGAGGATTGAATTCAAGATCCTCGTCCTCACTTTCAAGGCTATCCATGGCCTTGCCCCCTCCTACCTCTCTGACCTGCTGAATCCCTACCAACTTGCCCGCTCCCTCTGTTCTGCGGGCTCCGGTCTGCTCCATGTCTGCCACCCTACCATCGGTGGCCAGGCTTTCAGCCTCTCTGCCCCCACACTCTGAAACTCCATCCCAGTCCCTTCGCCTCGCTTCCTCCCTTGCCTCCTTCAAGGCCGGTCTCAAGACCCTTCTCTTCAACCGTCAAACCATTCAACTCTTCGATCATACCTTTGGTCGCCCTCCCACCTCTCTGCCTTCCCTCACCCCTATACCACCACTCCTCCATACTCGGCCCCGACACCTGACTGTTCAGCACTTTGGGACATCTTCCCGACGTGAAAGGTGTTCTATAAAGGTAATTTTGTTGCTGCAGATGACATCAGTGAGAGGGAGCATATAGATGAGGAAGAGAAGGGAGCCAAGGATGGATCCTTGGGGTATCCCGCAGGTGACTGGGTGGAAGCGCGAAGGAAAGTCATTTGCAGAACTGTAGTGCTGGTGGTTTGTAAGGTAGGACTCGAACCAAGCGAGTGCGGTCCCACTGAGGTGGATGATGGAGTTCAGGCAGTGGAGGATGATGGCGTGATCGACTGTGCTAACACCCACTATCTATCTGCAAATGACCCTGATGCACTTGTACCTGGTCCTCTTGTTGCTGTGAAGACCAGTGCTTTCAGACGGTGTGCTGTCTGTCACTTGTGCAGAATCATGTGATGGTACAGGACTACTACTGACACTCCATGCTACTGGTTATGGTCATCTCCTCAAGATGTCCACTGGTCTGTGCTTGCGTAAAACTGTAGACCTGAGTGACATTTTGAAATCCCTCCATCATGGTTGCCTGTAACTGTTCTCCAAGAAGGTCATAGTCAAAGTTGACTCAACATTTATTGGCAAAGTTACAGCAATTCTTTGCTGACATCTTTTCTGCATTTCTCTATCAATGCTACAATTCCCACTATGCCTCCTGACATGAAAGGCTTTAAAAACGTAAATTTGTACTGTATGTAAGTGTCAACATTACATGTCACAAGTGTTGTGCCTTCTTAGGATGTTTTAAACATAGAAGCAGTGGTGATCAAGACAGTGATTCAGCCCACATAAAATCCTTCTTCACAGTTTGTTCATAACGTTTGTTATAATTTTCATTCCCCTGTTATTTTTACTGCAATTCCATTGGTTGGCAGATTATTGCTAATATTGCTGATATTATTGCTAATATCAGTACAGATTGTTAAATGCATATTATTTACAATGTCAGCTTTTCACTAACGTGCATACATTATCTGCTGTCCTATGTACCAATATTTATGCGTTATGGCTTCTCTTCAAATTATGCAGTTGTTCGAGAACTCCTGCCAGATTCTCTCCAGTTGCTGGGGTAACATTGAAGCTGGCACATAAAATGCCTTGTTTTCCTCTTGGGTATCTAACCCCCTCCACTGAAAATGCTATTGCATTACTTTCAAAAGCAATTTCAGAACCTCCAAGAAAACAATCCTTTTTTTAAGCATTCCTGGTCTTAAGACACTTTCCCAATGAGTTTACACTCCAAACTATAGTCACAGACTTGTTACTAATTTCATGCCATTTAATTGATAGTTACTTTAAAGTTGTTTGCTACAAATTACTGCCCATGCATCGTCACACCACATTTTCCTTAACACTAAAATCATCACCATCTCACCACTGGCTTTTAAGAATGCCAGAGATGCTTGTAATTTTGCAGCCATTTCTTCAAAAATATGATTAGTCTGGCCTTTAACAGAAAGAATGTCAGGCAAGTAATTCTTAACAAAATACAGCAACGGGAAGCGATTCTTGATAAATAAGTTGGACAGTCATCAACGTTTCACTTTGAAACAGGACCATCAAATAAGGAGAGTTACCATGCTTACTGAAAACCCAACACAACAGTTCAAAGTTAGTGAAGAAGTTTACCATTGGTAATTAAGCCCTGACAAGCAGTAACACCTTGAGTGAAATGCTCACTGCCAAATTTTATTGTAGCATAAGCATGGAGATATTCTTCGATAGGAGGAGTCTCACCATCTTTGGAAAGCAGAAAGATCTGCTTATTTGCTTTCTAAACAAAGTCATGTGGGAATACATGCTGCCTTGAATTGATAACATTACGGGTGAGTGATTTACATTTTGTTGATAGCACATATAAGTCATGTACCAATATTTTCACAACATAAATCAATGGCACATTTAAACACAATTGTATCACTGCATTGTGGTTTTGCAAACAGATGAGAAAATATTCTCCCTACCCATTCAAAGCATCTTTGGAGTCAAAGATCAAAAGCAAAACAATCAAAGACTTCAAAAAATGTCAGATTTATAATAGTGACAGGATCTCCCTGTCAACATTGGCTGTGTCACTGCTCAACAAAACCTATTTTTGCTGTTAATAAATTATTGCTGTTGTTTGGGATATTGCAGAAAAAAACGTCTGTTGATCCTGGACTCTATGGCTTTGGTCATTAGTCTAATACTCTCCTGTATAATTCTTTACAACCCCGAACCAGTACCCTCTTTTTCCAAACTTGGTGTATCTTTAAAATTATTGTTCAGTGCTTACTTCTTCCCAATTACATCGAACATCATTCCTACCCTTTAACATGAACCTTTTTAAGGCTGAAGAGCAGCCCTAGCTTATTTAATTATTGTTCACAACTCGTCCCTTTACACTGGAAACAATCATCAAAGCTGTCTTCTGCAATATCTCTAATCCTTGGGCATGCTCCTTGTATCACAATGATCAGAACTGGATGTTTACCACATGCAGTCTAATAACAGCACTGCACACAGAAAAGTAGATGTGATGAGTACAGCCTTTCAGTGCCAGAATCCATTCCTTCCAGGCATGAAGAGAAATAACTGGGTTGTACGTTGACTGAAGTTTTAGGAGTGGAACAACAAGAGTTGCACAACCTCAACATTGGTCAAAAAGGTTTGGACATGAATCCAGAAGTGAAGTTTCATACATGTTCTCAGGAACTTGATATGCTCATCTTTAAATGCTAAATGTTTACATTAATTGTTTGCTGAACTAGGTATTGCTGGAATGATGGAAAACACGTTGCTGTAACAATTCTCCAAGACTTGCCATGCTTCCAGCAATCATCAAAATGAATTGAGACTTCTGCTCTTTAGACATTTCTTTTTCTCTCTGTGCACTCTTTGGTTTTTGACCAACAGTAGAAAATTCCCCCCTCCCCAACATTCATTGTTAAATTAAAGTAGGTAAGGAAAATGGATAACTGCATAAGGTCCCCAATAGCTTACCTTGAAATGCAGCTGCATTACGTGATATCAAAAATTTCAGAGATGAGCTCAATGTTTGAAGCAAATTTTGAATTTCTTGGCGAGCTGCTGTCTGGTATCGATCCTCCATCTTCTTTGTGCAACATGTTGGGTTCTTTGATGTACAAACCTGAAGATCAGATCCTGAAGGAAGGTGAAAATGATTAATCCATTTGTTCTCACAGTGAATTCATATGCAGCAATGGAATAAAATTTCAATTTACATTTGAAGATTTAAATATAAAAATGCCTCAAACATATTTCTGTGCCAGCAGGTTCATTTTTCTCTCTACTATGAAAATACTCCTACTTTTGAGAAATTTCTTGAATAATTAAGATAGCAGGATATTAAAGCCCTTTACTCTTTTTATTTAAAAAATTACAAAACTTCAGCAAAATCACGAGTATCTAATTAATATTCTTGTATCAAAATAGTAAATTTGGTCTATGCTTGTAGCTTCTCTGTTACAAGTTCTCATTAAGATCACCACTGCATGTGAACACTGAACTACATTTTCTTCTAATATAAGAAATGCATAAATATTTATGCCTTTTGTAGCAACACAAGGTATTTCCACAAGCAGAACTAGAGAAACTAACTTCTCTTTCCAAATCATGCCATGTGATCAACATCCTCTTTAACATGCAAACAGGACCTTGATTTAACAACTTATTCAAATGGCCACACCTCTGACAATGAAGCACTCCCCCAGCATTGCACTGGAGTCTCGACTGTGAGCCCAAAGTTCCAAAGACCCAATACTTCACAATAATCAGGATGCACTCAAAAACATTGGGATGGTTTTCATCGGAGTATAAAAATTCAGAGGGAATCTAATAGGGGTATTCAGAAGTCAAAAAGATATTGAGAAGATAAATAATGCTAGATTATTCCTGCTGGTTTGTAAAGTTGTTAACAAGGGAACATAAAAATCAGGATTGTCACTAGTTAACTAAAAGGTTGGAATATTTTTTGCTTGCAAAGGGAAATTATACTATGGAATGTTTGCGATATTGAATTTAAGATGATCAAATTTCAAGGAGAATTGGATAAGTATTTGAAGAGGAACAGTTTAAGAACAGTATTTGGAAAGAGCATGGAAGAAGGATTAGCATAAGTAGCTTCATTGGAGGAGCTAGCATCAACATAAATGTGATCCAACAAATGATCTCATTTTCTGCTGTAATTTCTATGATCGTAATTATCTGGGTCTCATAAATCACAAGCATTAAAACTAGATCCTAATGACTAGTTTTAAAACTGAACTAAAACTAGATCCTAATGATTGTTTCCTCCAGACTACAGAATCAGTTGTTGCTTGATCATTTACGTAATCCTGCTCATGGGCAATTTCCAATTTTCAGCCAGAGAGGTACAGCAAGAACTTAAAACAAAGTACTTATTAAAACAGTGATTGTATTCCTTTTTTCCATTTATATTATATTACAGTATAAGTATTTACCTTATAGTTCATTAATTTGTGATTGTTAATATATACTTAGGTTTTTATTTAAATATTTCTCTCCTACCAACAGCAACATAACTTTCATTTATATAGCACCCTTCACTTAGAATAATGTTGAATGCTTTTACAATGAAAGTGTTTTATGCCGAGCAGGAGTAGTGGTGGTGGTTGTGTGTAAGGAAGGGGAAGGTGTCTGTACAAGTAGTTATTAAAACAGTATTTAAAGGCAGAGAGAGTGGTGAGACAGAAGAGTAGAGGAAGCGAGTTCCAAGTCAGGAGAGTCATATTTGAAGGCTTCACCACTTTTGGTGGCACAGAGGGATGGATGACACCAAGCAAGACCAAGATAGCCAAGCAGAGGGAGAAAGCAGAGGAATGGAGTGGATCAGAGAGATAGGGAAGTGCTGGGGCAATAAGGGATTTATTAGGTGAGCCCAAGAACCTTGAAATCGATCCGATGAGAGATAGAGAACCAGAAGAGCCTGTCGAGGACTGGGGCGATTGGTCTGCAGTTTGGTACAGGTGAGTATCAGACAGATTTTTGATTAATTGGAGCTTATAGATAGTGTAATTAAGAGAGATCAGCTAGCAGTAAGTTTGAAAAGCTGAGGTGAATGGGTAACAAAGGTACAAATAAGGATTTCAGGGGCATTTAATGAGAGATAGGAATGGAAAATATAGTTGAGGTGAATAAATACCCAGTTGCCTGCTCCACTAAAGTTCTTAATGAAGTTGTCCTATTTAGTGTTACAGACGAACATTACCGGAACAATCGTAGATCAACAATTTATAGAAACTGCTAATAACTAATAAAAATAAAAAGCAAACAGAAAGTTTTAAAAGAGTCATGGGCAACATCAGAGGAATTTTATAACATTTCTTAGATTCTCACTACGGTTATCATTTTCTCCTGTGCGTACCTGCCTCCACAAATGATTTTATCATGCTGCGGTCAAATTGGTGAAATACATCAAGCTATTTTATACATTTAACCTGCAAAGGCTAGAGGTGAGACTATAGCACTGACGAGGTGTTGTAAATGAGATCGCCAGTGTATCTGGAAAACAGAAACATCTACCTACCATCTGCACAGAAGAGATACCAGGGTTAACAACAAAGTGTGACTATTCGCAATAACATCTGTGCTGATACCTGTACTGTTGCAGTTAGCATACAAACCAAACTTAATCAAAGAAGTTTATTTTATTATTTTGTGGTTAAATTACAATTAATTACATTTCACAATGTTGAAAATATTTACAAATTGTGAATTGTGAAATATTAGATATGTTTTGGTGAAGAGTACATTTGCTCACTACCTCATATCTATGCATTTTGTAAAGAAAACTCAAATAACCAAAACACTTCCCTACATGGATATAAATCTGGTAAGATTTAATCGTGTCATTGCAACATCAGAAACATACAACTAAAATATGTCAGCCAATAATTTAAGACATCAGTTAAAGTGAAGTCAATTACATTTAAGTTCAAATAGAGAAGAGCTTCAAAGGAATCATGCTTAATCATATATTTGTAATGTCTATGGTCTAAGATCCTGGACCAAAATATTAATGTTATAGATCAACATGAAATTTTATTTTAGTTTCGTTTTATTTTATTTTTATTTTTATTTTATTTTAGTTTAGCTTATGTTTGAATTCTGAGATCTAACACAGTTAGCAGGCAAACGCTCTAAAATTGAAATACACAACATACTCTTTAAAGAAAGTTAATTTCAGCATAATGGTATTTGGGTGTGATTCCACTTAGAGGAGCTTTAGTAAAAAAAATCAGAGGGAGAAAGGGAAGGAGATGAGACAGAAAGAAGAAATGAAGTAATATCAACATCAGTGTGATCACTCGAGAGCAATATGTTCTTCAATAAATTAGCACAGCTGTTGAATTTAATACACATCAAATTAAAACAAATATATCACTTCAAGAGATGTATGCTTTAACATGAATAAAGATGAATCATCCAACATAACTGAAGAGACCATCGTAAAACTAAAGAATAACTAGGAAAAGTTACATTTTTGCAGGCTGTGTTCGAGCTTTTCTTATTTATTTGCACAGTTGTAAAGCTATTTGAATACGAGTAAATAATCAAGCTATTTTTCTCTAGAGCACAGTTTAGTGACACAAATATGGAATAAGGGAGAGTGAAGGAATTACAAACCTGACATATTGATGGCTATTTATGGAACACTGTGTGCAAATTGGCTGCCATGTTTGCCTACAAATACAGTCACTACATTTCACAGTAAAAAGTTGTGATGCTCTCAACATAAGCGCTGTTCCAAATGCAAGGATTATTATATAATTGAGGGATTCAGGTGACATTTTAAATTCGAGACTGGTGCTTCAGCAAATTACAAATGCTAGATTCCAACCTTGAATATCATTCTCTGATACTCATTTTTGGATCTGATGACTTCATAAGCCAAGAAAGTAAAGTTTTTTTTGTCATATGGAACCTTTTAAATGAATTGTTGTCTTGTGATTCAAAAACAACCATCCATTATTGTACCTCTAACATGAAATTGTCTTTCAATAGCAGCAACAACAACCTGTCCCAGCTGTCGTCAAGACAGAATGTCATTGGTGACTTTGACTAAGGTGGTGTCAGTGCTGTGAGTGGATTAAAAGTGTGACTGGATGGTTGAAATGGTTGGAGGTGAACATGAAATTAATAATAATAATAATCCTTGCATTGATATAGTACTTTTCAAGTCTTCTAGATGTCCCAAAGCGCTTCACAGAATATACTGTAAAGTGAACTGACTGTATATTTGTGGGCGAACGCGGCAGCCAATTGCGCACAGCAACAGTCATGGATTGAAAATGACCAATTTATTATTTTTTTTGGAGGGATTATTATTCGGCATGTGGAGTAAGAAAACTTGCCCAAGGTTTCGCCCTGCCTGGAATTGAACTCAGGTCTCTCACTTGCAAAGCGAGTGCTCTAACCACTGAGCTACAGGACTCCATTAATTAAGTGGCAATGTCCCAAATAATACTTTCAGGAAAGGTACCAATTGTTTGGTCTGTTTTGGGTCTGTTTCATACTAACAACCAAACAGTGCACAAAAGAAGCTTTTGTTTAAAAGTAGTTGTCTACAAATTACAAACTATTAACATTTAAAATAGTCAAAAAGGGAAATGTTAACACCAAAATTTGCAATGTTCCAAGTTTATTTGTCTACTAACATATTGTACCAAAGCATACTCAATAGATAACGTCTCTCACAACAGCAGTCCAGGAGTCATTGTTTTCCACATCCCTAACTGCTCTCATCCACCACGAAACTTGTTGTTTACATCCATAAAATGGCAATTTTGGATTCACCCATGTTTTGAATATGAAACTAAATTATTTATTGGTGTTGTTGCTGAAAATACTGTTGTCTGGAACAATTCAGTCATCTGTTACTGCCAAGATTGTGTCTTTCTAAATTTCCTTTGTAATTTTGAGTCATTTTCATGCTGACCAATGAATGCTACTTCACTTGTTTATGAAGGATGCCCACAATTTGCTCTGTTGTTTCCAAGTGTGGTGGAAAAAACTTACCCTGCAAGGATGACTGAAAGTTCTTCTTTCAGTGAATGGTCAAGTACTAATTCACTTTCAGTTACATAAGAAAATTCCAAATTATAAAATTAACTTAGTGTTGCTGAATAAATATTACAAAACTTTAGCTACCAATTTTTTTTTACAATTTGTCTGTTTGACTAAGTAAAGTTTTTGGATTGAGCATAAAACTGAAAAAAAAGGCCATTCAGCTCTCTGAGTTCACTTCCTCCAAATCACACATAACCAATTTGTATGCCACCCAACCCCTCCAATTCTTTGGGGAAAGTTCCACTTAGGTATTCCAAATGCAACCACACTAACAATCCATAAAAAGTTAGAATAACTTCTATCGACTTAGTCAAATGCCCACAAATTGCAACAGGATGATTTTGTTGACTGGCTTCACAGTGACAAGAATCCTTCAGTGAACATCTTCGCTGCCTCTGCTGTTGATACCCCTTTATTGGGCACACATGTTTGCAGTTACTTGTTGCAATGTGTGTTACTTTACATGCATTCACATTAAATCCATCAGCTGCTCCTTGGCCCATTAGCTTAATTGGTGAAAATCTCCAAATTTGCTATTCATCCTCATTATATGATTTGTCTTTTTTTTCTTTCACGACTGCTTTCAGTTTAAATGCAATTAATATGAGTTCAAGCTGCAAACTATTTAATAGCAATAATAAACTCTAAACTCACATATATTAAGTGTTTTGGGTTTTAACTACCCCGTGCAATAGTTTGGTTAGAAGCCAATCCCCTGTATTTGCCAAGTCACCAATACACACTCCACCTCCTCAATTCATTTTTGCACAAACTTCTCGCCACTGCAAACCAGTTTCTGAGAATTTTTTTAAAGGCGCTTTGGTTTACAAATATGTGGTCGTTACACAGATGTTCTCTCTCGATATACATACATGTAGATGGATTTTCATTGCATGGATCGTGTCTGTAAAAGATGGCAAATCAATACAGGTGGTCTATTGTGGCTGAAATGTATTTCATGTCAAAATATGTGAACCTGACACGAATAATAATAATCCTGGCATTTTGCTATAGCGCCTCATCACATCATTGAGACTTCTCAAAGAGCTTCACAGAATACATTAACCCCTGCATTTCAATGTGTGCATATATTTGCAAACGGATGTATTCACAGTAAGTAGAGAGAACACACACACGCACACACACACACAGCACTCGGGGATAATTGTGCCCCATTGCCTGCGACGTGCGGCTTTGGGCGATGTGAGGCTGAGTGAGGCGGTGCTCACCTGCTCTGGGGGTCTGCGGCAGCCACTTGGAGGGTCCGATCTGCCGCAGCTGGAAAACTTTCTTCACCTCTTGGCAGTCGAGCTCCGCCTGGACATGAAGCCCCATCCACAGCAGCCACAGCAGCGCCGAGCAACCGCAGCACAGCCTCGGCAGCTTCACCTCCATCATCGCGGGGGGGAGGGAGGGAGGGAGGAGGGGGGCAGCGGCCGAGCACAGCACAGCACAGCACAGCAGAGCAGAGGGACTCCGGGGGGAGCAGAGGGGACACCGAGTGGGGGAGAGAGGGACACAAAGTAAAGTCCACCCTAGAACTTGGCCGAACTTCTGGCCCCCGGAACGCTCGACTCCACCGCCCGTCTCCCCGACAGCGTCGCAGCGAAAGCCAAACCCGAGACGGATTCAAGTGTCATAGCCGGAAAAGTTCTCCCCTGAAAAGCCCCTTCTCTCTCCCTCTCTCTCTCTCTCTCTCTCCCTCTGTGGCTGTTTCTTTTATGTAAATAGATATAGATGTGTGTGTGTGTGTTAATGGAGTCGCAAAGCGTTTGCAACGTTATATATATATATATATGTATGTACTAAACTGAAAGTCAAAGGGGGAGGAGAAAGAAAAGGTGAACTCTTTGCTGTGGGCGCAGTGGCGGCTCAGCAGTCAGTCAGTGAGTGAGTCAGTGAGTGAGGAGTGAGTGAGGAGTGAGGAGTTGCAGTGCAGTACAGGCAGTTGTGCAGATCCTGTGCTCCCTCCTGTCTGACCAAACAGCCTCTGCTCTCTCTCCCTCTCTCCCTCCCCTCCCTCTCTCCCCCTCTCTCCCTCCCCTCCCTCCAGCCACATCACATCACATCACATCAGAGCCACCCACTGGCAGCAGTCAGAGCAACCAGAGAAGGGGAAGACTTCACCTGACTCCACTCTTTACTTTCTTACTGGTTCGCAAAGGTCCACCATCGGGGTCCAGTCCGAAAATCGGTCTCAATCTTCATTTTTAAAATGTATTGGTTTTGTCGTTCTTGGACCGACGATATTTTTCTTTTTTAAAAAAAAAACACAAAGGATCGATTCAATCCACCGCTGTTTTTGTGGGACACTGCGTTGCGCAATTATCTGCCGGGTTTCGCCTACAAAATATACAGTCAATTTACTTTACGGTATATTCTGTGAAGCTTGAGACGCCTCGATGGTATGGTAAGCTGCTGTATCAAATGCAAGGATTATTATTATTAACTTTTTTTTAAATTTAAGACTGAATTCAAGAGATTGGCCACTTCTGCGAGCTCTGAAATGTTAAGAAAATGGTGTATGTCTAGACCCGGGTGGAACTTTCCTACTCCCAAGAAACCCCAAATTTCACCTCATCTTAGCCCGTGAGACTATTTTGTCTAAAACGTTCAGAATATTCTGAATTCTTAAATGTAGCTGTGATTTGAAAAAAGGATTCTTTTTAAGAACTGCACAATAACACTTTCCAAAGTAAAACTGATTTTAAAGAATTCTACATAATTTGCTGCAGTTTTGGGTGGGGTACTGGAAGGCAACCAGTGCCTATGGGATAACATAGCAATATAGGGAGGCTGGGGACCAAGTGCAGAAGCATACAGTAATTAGGAGAAAATTGGAAAATTATTTGAATTAAATTATATAAAGATTTTATTTTACCAAAGTTAAAACATATGCCACTCTTTGTGAACGCCTACAGTTATGTTGCTGTAATAGTTGTTTTCTTTCAATTGCCGTTACAGTTGAGGAAACTACTCCAAGTTATAAAATATAACAGTTGCCAATCTAAGAGAAGTGTTAGAAACTGGTAGATTCAGTAAAAAATATTTCCAAAAATAAGGCAAAGCTAGTAAACGGGGAATGTTTCGTAAGGTAGTTAGAAATCAGAAAAGTAGAATGGATTTCATGAGGGAAATGTTGTCCTTCTAAAATATTAATTCAGACTCCAGTTTTACTGTACGATTACTATCAGCTCAAAGTGGTCTTTACATCCAATCAACACTAGAGTTTTGGGCCAGGTATCTGGCACTGATTTAAATTTGGTTCTACTCCAGGAAGTCGTTTCGGAATCAAATTGATGCAAACGATTACAGTATAATTTAAATTTTATTGAAGTCTACGTAAATAGAACTTCAAAATTTAAAAATAATTATGTTTCAATGTTCCTGGACAGTGTAAAGTACTCAAATCATTTGAGGGTCAGCAGCACTCCCTTCTTAACTCTTGAAAATGTACTGGTGTTTTGTGCAAGTCAGGAAGGCTTTGCACATGCACTGTATTTCACATGCATAGAGCTCTGTTATTTGAACTTAGTACTGGCAAAAAGCAGTTTGTATTGGTTAGTATAAGACAGAATGTTGCTTCACATTGCTCTACTACTTGAATCAGTGTCACATTATCTCTATGGTTTAAATGGTAATTAAAGCAAATTATATTGCTCTTGTATCATAATTGGATTTAGACTTGTTTCTCTCTGCATGTTTATGTAATCACAATTTCCTGTTTATACAAAGTAGAAACCCATGGAAAAACAAAGATTGAAACTTTCAATAATTCATACTGTATGTTCTCAGTGATACATGCAAAATAGTTTTAAAGTATAAGAAGAATCCTTGCTCACAGTTTATTATCTGTAACTTTTGTTTTAGCTCATGTTGTTTTTCTTGCTCCTTACTTGTCCTTGTTGATGTTCCTATTTTAAAATTGTATTGTTTCTTTGTTTTAAATGATTTTGTTTGTTTCACACCCAATTCTTTTTCAAACCCTACATCCAGTAATTGACCAAGATTGCCTTCTTCTATCTCTGGACCATTCTACCCTTTAGAACTTTAACTTGCAGGGTTCACAGGAGCTGAGCGGGAAGAATCCCTGCTTACAATATTCCTCCAAGTCTTGCCACTAGCGAGTCCAGCTGGCAGTGCCTTGGAGTACTGTCGACTCACCAGGCTTGAGGGACAGATTACCAACACTGCCAAAGAGTTGCCTTTATTATGACATTCCATTGCCAAACACAGCCACAAGGATACTGTGCTTACTCCTTCCCCCCAAGGGCAATCGCCAGTTTGTCTTTTGACATCCGACAAGTGCAGATTTGAATATCTCTCCTTGAATATCTCCTTCCCCTTGTCTTTCTGCTCCTATCTTCAAATTCCTCCCCTTGTCCTTGATGTTTGTAATCCTCATTGTCTTTGTGCAGGGCTTTGAGATAAAGGGACTATATAAGCATAAATTGTTGCTTCTATGTTTCCCTTACTCCTGTTTTTTTTTACCCTTTCACTAGTTCTCTTGTACAGTATTTCTATTTTTGTCTGTTCTTTCCCTTGTTCTACATTTCGCTGGTACCTTTGTTTTATGATTCTCTCTTATTCCAAAAGATTATAATAGAGGGGAATAGGAAAGATGGGGGCGAGTATGAAGTATAAACTATTTGTGCCAAATGACTCATTTCAATAACATATAGTCCTGGAACGGAGTCCTGTAGCCCAGTGGTTAGAGCACTCGCCTCACAAGCGAGAGACCTGGGTTCGATTCCCGGCAGGGCGAAACCTTAGGAAAGTTTCCTTACTCCACACACCTGATAATAATCCTTCAAAAAAAAATAATGAGTCACTTCAATCCACGACTGTGTGTGGGACACTGCTGTGAGCAATTGGCTGCCGCGTTTTGCCCATAAATATACAGTCAATTCACTTTACAGTCTATTCTGTGAAGCACTTTGAGACGTCTAGACAAAGCACTATATGAAATGCAAGGATTATTATTATTCTATAAATTGCATTTCTCTTTGCTAAGTTTCTTTTTCCTCCTCCAATGTTTTTCTTCTTCTTTGTTTTTCTCACTTCCTTTCTTATATTTTCCTTTTTTCTGACTCCCTGACTTTGGCCAGCTCAGTTCCCAATACAACAACAACAAGATTTCATTTATAGAACGCCTTTCACGTCAGGAGGACGTCCCAAGGCGCTGGACAGTTGGGTCGGGACCTGAGCAGGGGGGAAATGGTCAGGGTGAGGGAAGGGAAGGGAGGGAGCGAGGAGGGGATAGAGAGTCGAGAGGGGAGCTGAAGGCACGGTCGAAGAGAAAGCTCTTGAGACCGGCCTTGAAGGAGGAAAGGAAATTATCTACTTCTCTCTTAAAAGTTGTTATCGAATCGGCTTCCACCATCCTTTCAGGCAATGCATTCCAGATCCGAACAACTCGCTGTGTGAAAAAATTTCTCCTCACCTCCCCTCTGTTTCTTTTAACAGCTATTTTAAATCGGTGTCCTCGGGTTACCGACCCACCCTCCAGTGGAATTTCGGGCCAGGTATCCGCTGCAAAATCAACTTGCATATTGTCTCCGAGAATTTCAGAGAATCTTAACGTTCATTTTGAGTCATTGCCCTGGACATTATAAAAGCAGCATATCAGTCAATCTCACCAATGTTTTGGCAATTTACCATTTTAGTAATATTTTAGCTGCTTTGCATTACTGAAGGTCTTGGGTCTTAATCATTTTTTACACAAAGATTATTGGACTTGTTCCGTATATTAATGAGGTCAAACCATGTACCGACTTGTGTCAGTGTTAAAAAGGGAAATAAAAGTATTGCAGCAACTTGAAAAGCCTTTAGTAACATACACATGTTCTTATCTTCACATAAATAAAAGAAAAGTAGTATATTAAAGTTACAGTGCTCCAAATTTTTCTGTAATCATGTATTACTGATTTACATGTAGGAGCATTAAACAAATGATGAGCTGCTAAAACATTATCTCCATGCTGCCATCCATTATGCAGATAATGTAATGTTTTGTAATGGAGGTCAATTTCAGGAATGTGTGTTCTATTTCATGCCACTCACTGACCTCTGCGTTTTATTACTATGTCTCCTGTCAATCACAAAACCATATCTCAAGTGACATGGCAGAGGCCAATATAGAGACCACACAACTTACAAATTGTGGAGTCCTGCAGCTCAGTGGTTAGAGCACTCGCTTTGCAAGCGAGAGACCTGAGTTCAATTCCAGGCAGGGCGAAACCTTGGGCAAGTTTCCTTACTCCACACGCCTAATAATAATCCCTCCAAAACAAAAAACAATAATAAATTGGTCATTTTCAATCTACGACTGTTTGTGGGACATTGCTGTGCGCAATTGGCTGCCGCGTTCGCCCACAAAAATACAGTCAATTCACTTT